TTTAGTTCTTTAACGTCATGTCATGCGAAGAATGCAACAATAGTCAAGGAAATCAGAAAACATGACAATTTATCTATGGTCGACTGGGAAACAATACATATTTTGATTAATACTAGTATGTATTAGATTTGTACCACTTCATTTTTTATTCATGAAATGTGTTTTTTCTCAACAGCTTTACACGACTCCTGCGTAATTCTTACATGTTTGTTTGTTTTGTTTTGATTAATACTCTGATTTAACACATATTTCAAATTTTTCCACAAGTGTCCGACTTCATAGCCTACATGATTATCAAATGATCATAAATGTTTAAATGTTCATTTTGCAACTCTCGGTAAATAACGCTCTAAATCTTATAGCTTTCATCAACTGTATGAAATTTTTCAAAGGCCTTAACGCTACTATTCCAAAAAAAATCAAAAAAGATCGTTCATTCGAATAATCACAATCATATGAACAAAGGAGCGAATGTTTCAAAATGTTATCATTATGATTATCATTAATTATTACTGATATTGACACATTTGTCCGTAGAGAGATGCGGAAAAGATGCGAATGAGAAATAGATAAGCTCCCTACAAAAGACTCATTAGCTAGAGGCCTGTTTGCGTCACAGCCATATTTCCTCGAATGATAACGTACCGTCCAGGAAACGGAATCAGTTATGAATTGGTACATGTGAAAAATCACGCCTGAAACCTCAGGGGCATTAAAAATGAAACAAGAAAATGCAATATATTCAAATAAACCTATACAGTTCCTTTCGTTTTTCACTATTGCACACGCTTTCACTGTTCAATTGTTATAATGATGTTATCAACATAAATGTGTATTGTGAATTGTCAGACACTTTCATATGTGTAGGCATTTTACCAGTCAGATTAAAGTACATTTGTTTTATCATTTAGATTTGCCAGGGGACAGGGCACCAAAAACAATTGACAACTTTGATATGCCAAACGCTTCTCTAAATATTTCATGATTTTGCAATTTTGCATATACAGACGAGACAGTTACTCAAGGATATGATACTTGAATAAAGTAACTGTTTGCATCAACTGCTCCATAGAAATTATCTGAGAGCCAGTTGTACAACCCTCGCCCAACCAAAATCAAATTGAAAGAAATCTTTATGAAGATACACGTATGAGCAACAATTTAGAATTCGCCTCATGTCTCTAATGGTAGAATTTATCTGTAGTACAATTATGATTACCTTTGAAAAACAAAGTGTCAGTCAGACGTTTATATTTCATGCAAAAATTAATTGTTTCTTACTAGATTTCTAGCATATTTACAATATTTCAACCTCCCTTTAAGAGTCATATATCGGAGACTCAGTTATACATGTATATATATTGCTTCTCCCCACACATTGAATAAATTCACTGATAATTTATATGGACAATATTGTTGTGACATCTTAAGATTACCTTGCATTCACATCCTGTAAAGATTGTGTTGTTATAGTTGTAATTTTTGTACAAAACTGACTATTGTCAGCATTTAGTTCGCAATTTTATATCGTGTTGCACTCTTAACCCAGTTTTTACGGCCAATTTTCAATTTTCGAGGTCACGTAAACAAAGAAATAGATTGATCAAATCAAAAGAGATACTGGTGAAGTTAATTTATTTCGGACCCGTTGTAAATATAACATAGATCAGTGCACTTCAGAGAAGTTTAGTAATTTGTGTACGTATAGTATAGTAATACTTATTGACCGTAGTCATTGCAGTGATACGTTGTAGTGTAGTGGTCGCCTGCTGTTCCTTAAATCATACTGGTGCAGGATCCCAACAGTTCCATTTTTTCAAATTAATATTTTTAATGCACGGGTACTACATGTTTGTGTCATGCATATGACGAACTTGCGACTGAGGGTGTCACAGAAGTTGAAAACAATATTTGAAGTGTTGCATTGAATTGTAACTGTATATATGCTATAGCATTATCGTAAATAAAATACAAGAATAAATAAGTAAAATATAGAGTTAAAAAAAAAGAATAGATAAAAGAAAACGGCCTAATAAAAGTATTACTCCCTGTTGGATTTGAAATTAAAACCTTCTGCATGCAAAACAAGCACCATAGCTTATCCACTAACATGCCAGATATCATATTTTAATTGTCTCCCTGGTTGTGCGTTTTCATATATGGATTTTTCAAACCACCCCTGTGTACGTTTCCAATTCTCGATCATATTTGAATCGACATTATCTTAAGAAGAAAACAATGAAGATAATAGATACAGAAAAGAAATAAGGATAACTGGGTTATAGAAAAATACAGGTATGAAAATAACAATGTAAATATATTAAACATGTATTATATATTGATTTTATATAGATTATGACTTTGCTTAAAACCCAACAAATATTATAAGAAGATCTAAAGAGTTACAAATTTGTTGTTAGTATTTGACATCCTGACTCGGAACGGCCTGACAATATATATTTATAGTAGAATTTCGGTAAGTTTAAGTTGAAGGGATTTGCGTAAAAATCTCGACGATATTCCGGACTTCGGCTTATGAATCGGTCTCAGTTTAAGTCTGTTCTTAAGAAGGCCAACTCTTGGTTAAAATTTCTTTACCGCAAGAAATAGTTTCTTACTCAGTATAATAAGAAAATTCTGGTTATGTCTCTTATTCAGTGTCACTATGATTACGCAGGCTCTGTTTGGTAGAATAGCTTGACACAGTCTTTAAAAAATAAGTTACAGACTTGTCAAAATAAAATAATGAGATTTGTACTTGACTTGGATTCCAGAGCCCATATTGACCCATCCCATTTTAAGTCCCTTAACTGCTTACACAGAAGAGTTGAACAGATAATGTTGTGTCATGTTTTTAAGATAAAAAATGGCCTGTCTCCGGATTACATGTCTGAACACTTTATCTCGCAAGATTCCATACATAATTATAGAACAAAACTTAGTCAAAAGGGTGGATATTGTCTACCTAAGGTCAAAGGTCAGGGTTCTTAATCCTTTGCTTTCTCTGGCATTAAATTATGGAATGATTTACCTGTAGAGTTATCGAATATCAGCAGGTTACAAAGTTTTAAGGTTGCCAACAAAAGTCATCTTATGAACAGTATTTAATTTTTTACTGTTTTTACATATTTAGGCTCAGGATTTTAAATTGTCTGCTAATTATCTTTTTACAATTTTAGTAATGTTTTTTTAATCCTAGCTGTAAACAGGAGTATCATTAACTCAAGATTTGACTGTGATATACATTTTTATGATTTATTAGTATTTTTAAACATGATTATATTTAGGTCTGCCTCCCTATGTCATGTCGCCAATACAAAGGACCACAATGGAAATAAGAGCTTATTTGCCCCTTTTTTGTGTTATCCTTTGTTTTGATGAGCATGTCAAAGTTTTCTCGTATGTGATATTGTATTTAATAATGCTCATTATTTTATCCTATGTTATATTGTCAACTATGTATATGCTTCCTTTGCCGAAATAAATCTATCTAAATTTATCTATCTATCTGACAAAATTATTGCGAGCCGTCGACGTTTAAATGTGAGTTAAAAATCCGTACCAAGATAAAAGGGCGATAACTACACCAGTATAAAGTAAATATATACCGTGTTATTATCGTACTGTTTATATTTAAAAACAACAAGAGTGATAACAATCTTTCACACAGGAACGCGTACAAAGACTGTTAAGTACACGCGATTGTGTAATTTACACCGGGCATATAAATGGATAGGGCCTTTATATACAAATCGGGACTTTCGATTTTACTCCGACACATCGAGAAGATCGACTTATCGAAGTTCGACACATAAAAGTTGCACTGTATATTGAAATTTTGCTCATTGTCTACATAAAGGTTACAATAATTAAAATATTTTAACACCTTTAAAAGACCTATCTGTCTTATAAATAAATTATAAATAAATTTCATCGGGGCTAAAGTACGAATATGTCCCCTGACCCTAAGTATGTCAAGCTTAATGTACATGTTTCTTATCTATTATACACAACATAGTAAATATCAATGAAATGCTCATCAGCAAATTATAGGTTTTCTTATATTTAGACCCATTTGCAAAAATGAATTTTTATCTTCCGTAATAAATGCTTATTTTAACCCACACAAGATTATATATCTATTGATATCTAGTTAGCGACAATGTTATGTCCGTTTATCTGCTTTATCGTGGTATCTTTTTCTACGAATTAATCAACAACTCTGTTTAGATTATATGAAGGATGTTTAAACAGTGTGATATTTAAAATGTCGAAATCATCTGCACAATATATAAACTGAAGATTTATGGACAAATTAGCATTGAAACATAGACAAACATAACAAGAACAATTAGGTTTAAGTGAGTTTAACCGAGCCTGCAACATTTTCAATTTTGCCGTGTTGGGCTTTCTTTAGGGATTCTGTATTTATCTATTTTAAGTGAAATGTTAGACCACATATAAAAAGACAATGACTTATTTGTAATATGCATGACTTGAGACATTTTCATTTTTGCCGTTTTGTTCGTCATTTCAAACTTACTTTATTTTGTGTTATTCTAAATAATTTTTTTTTATATTGAACAATTATGATTATTGTAGCAAATACTAAAAATATTCAATAATGAGAATGTTTAATCACGTAAAACAAGATAAAAGATTCATATAACGTGTTAATTGTTCCTAAAATCTAATGATAGTGTAGCAATGCTATTTATATAACAACGAATACTTATGACACCCTTTTAGAAGTTAACATATTGTATTTAAAATCTTCAACGAAAACACAATACCGTAGTTTAGACAGGCGACATGTAAAGAAATAGAATATCTAGTTATTTTATTCACGTGCAACCACAACGTTTCAGATTTAAGATTCTTTGTTTTAAAAATAATAAATATCTTTAAAGTTTAAAACCACTGACTTTAAAAGAACAATGTTAAAGTTATCAGGCATAAAACTACCGGGTTATAGTCGCCAATAAGCTTAAAAAAAATGTCGTTCATTATTGTTAGGACATTTAAAGTAGTGAAGATCTTACAAGGACTTTGATATTACTTCCTCGTACACTTTGATTATTTCTCTACTGGGAATCGTTGTCTGAATGCGGAAGTAATATTTTATCTATACAAACACAGGACTAACGATATACATGTATATCTAGTTCTACTTTGCAGGTTTGCTGTCTTTATTTATTATTATTATTTTCTTTCCAGTTGTTATCATACGTTTTTACTATTAAATTTTGTTTTACATTTTTCTTCCTTTATCATGTAATCATTTAAGTTATACGTAATGTAGTTTCGGTTTCAACATTTTTGAAGTAGTGGACATGACAGATATTCTCTTCATGTTAATATATTTCTGAAATAAGGCCGTGCATTAATTGTTAAAAGTGTAACATAGATACTATCATTATTTATTTAATGTGACATTATGCCCATCCAAGTGTACATGGCAAGTGGACAGGTAAAAGTCAAAATAACTTTACATTTTGCCATAATGGTATTGAATTTTATATTTCACTCTGCAAAATTAATCAATAGACCAATTGACCCACGGACATTTCTTTAAATATTGTTCAGAGTTCAGGTTATGAAATGAGTGGGGCAGTCTTTTTAAAATTTTGGTAGTTTTTACAATGTTTTTGTTTGTCCTAAACATATTTCATTATTAATTACACGTCAATCACCATTATAATAGTCAATCTTTTGAAATATATCAATAATTCATCTCAACTTGAAATCAAAACCTAAACTTAATGTCGCTTTAAAAGATACATGCCTCCAAACTATTTCAAGAAAATCAAATTTGAGAAAGGTGTTATAAGATCATAGGAAAAAATAAAGAGTCAATATTCAACTAATGATATACATGTATTTTGCAATTATTGACTGATTTAGCAGTATTTATCTCCATATTTCTACTGCGTTATCAATGCAGTAATCTTATTCAAAATTTGACCTTTTTGGTAATTAACGTCGATTGTTAAAGCCGTTTGCAATGTATAAATTACTTTCTTATTCACTTCACAATATTATACATGTACTATTAAATACATTTCAAAAATGTTCATGAAAATTAGTATGAATCTGGAGGCTTTTCTAAAGAGTTTTCGATCAGGAAATTTATGTCGACATAGTGAAAGTTGCAATATCTACTTGTACATGTATATATATATATATATTTCATGAGTATCACTTGTCAGATAGATGCTTGAAACTGTGAGATCATGGCGGCGAACAAGAAACCGAAGAATGAAGATTTTGAAAAAGCTCTTAAATACTTAGAAAAAGAGACACGACGGTTGACAGAACTTTCAAAGAATTTATCTGAATCTTGGAAAAATGGTGACAGAGAATGGGTGCCTATGTATCTTTTAGAGCAAACGAACGACATAGAGGAAAAAATGAAACAAATAAGATCTCTCATAGTATGTTTTATACTTTTATATGATACTGTAATTTGCTGAAGACGAGCATATGCACATATAATACATATGTTAAATATTGATACATACCTGCGTCTACATTATCTAACTTTAACTATCACCTTTGTAAGATTGACTAACAGTAAGATTTCAAGCTTAAATAGATTGCTGTTAGTCCATGTTAATATGTAATGAACTATCAATTGTTATTATTTTTGTGAATTTTGTACGAATAACTTATATTTTTTTTTGCAAATATTTGAAGCGTGTACCGCGAGAAAATATAGAAGACGCTACAAATGATACGGTCCAAGGTACTTGTCAAGAACACCAAGAGCAAATAAAACAGCTAAAGAAGAACAATGAAACACTACTCCAAAACAATCAGACTTTGGAAAAAGAGTTGCGTGACTTGAAGAAAGAACTCAAGAAAGAAGAAATACCACCAGTAATTCAACCAAGGTATACATGTAAATATGTATATAAATTAAAATATTGTAATGTGCTTAACAAAGAACCTTAAAATTAAATGTTTTTTATGTTTTCCTTAAAATGGAAAGTAATATTTGGCCATTCATTAATCAAATGAAAGTTTTCCTGAATATAGAAACCAATATTAAAGTGAAAATGCCTTAATATAAAATCTAACATGTTAATGTACATTATCGGTAAGGAATTAACAATTTTTTTTACAGTTCTGATTATCATACAAGAGGTGTAATTTCATACAGTAGGCAATACGTTTCAGTTGTCTAAATTACCATTTTTCGTCTCAGTGTTTCTATATTAGTATATTAAATTAAAAACTATTGAAGAAAATAATGTCAGACGTTTAACGGCTACACGAACGCTGCTTTCAAATTGAAAAGAAAATGTCATTAGAACAAAACTCAACAATTTTCTTCGGTTTTACTGTTTTACGAGTATAAAAAGAATAAATAAAAAATAAATATTAGTTAGGCAGAGTTTTATCATCCACATTGTTGGTGATATGGATTATTTATCAGGCAGATAAATAGGCCCATTGTACGATGACATCACAAGCACCTGCTACCAGAATTTAGTAGATTTACCGGTTGACAAGAAGGCCATTATATAGCAGCAGAAATTTTAATTTCTAATAACTTTTTTATTTGTAGATCAATTTTTAGATCCTTTTATCATTTAAAAGGTCTTTAAATTCATATTTTGGAAATATAAGCGGATTTTCATTTTTTACTTTAAAAAAAAAAAATTTTAACTGTATTTTCAATATTTTTCTAGCACCAAGTTTAACTTTTTACCAAGTAAAAAAGAAAAAAGTTTTGAAATTTTTTTTTTGCTGTACAAAATATGAGTTTACATACCTTTCTAATGATATAAAATATTAAAATATTTGTTGAAAAATAACTTTGTCATTACTGATATAAAATTACTATATTTTGTATTTTACCAGCCACCATGATTTTTTTGCCAACTGTCCATAATAAGTTACTTGTATGTCTTATCAATAATTTGTTACTATTAATAGATTTCATAACAATAACACGCAATGGCCCTATTGAGGATAGTTGTTTGTTTTGAGTTAATATGCTATATATAGCACTCAGAAGGGAGAAAATTGCAAAATGTGATGATGTTTTGCATCGATTTGTGATATACACTATATTCAAGAAAACACATTTTCTTTTTAATGTGTGCCTTATAAGCATCCATAGCATCTGGACATTGGGTTCTTTAGGGGACAAATTGTTTTTGAGTTCATAATAACTTTCAATAAATTAGATGCCGTAAAACAATCACCATTTGACAGTTAAATAACAGATTATTAGACTAACTCGTAAGAAACAATAGCGTTTGCTTCACAAATCTGTGGGTTTTGTTACATGTAACTAATTCATTTTTTGAAAATAGTGAACTGCGTTTCCTCGAGATGTTCTTTAAATGATTCTGATTCCTATATGTTCATGTAGTCAGATGACAGAAAATTTATTTAAGGAGACTAAATTAAATACATACCAAGTTGAAAAGGACAACCTTTCACAGAGAAAATTCTAAGACATATGTATTGGTTATATTCTATACAAAGATATTGAGATTCTTTTCATTTTGAAATGTTATAGAATTTTACAATGCAAGAAAATTCATTTTTTCAGTTCAAGAATATGTGAAATGTCGTGGTTTTCCAGTAAGTGATTAATGTGACATAAATGTTATATAATTGTATTATTTCGTTTTTTATATTGTTGCCATTTATTATTCCTTTGATATTGTTTAAACTATTTTATGGTGACTCTGAAAAGCACGCACCAGGACACGTAAACTATAAATTCGTTCCCGGGACGAAAGAGTGTGGAAACATGTTTATATCGTTTACACGTTGAATATTAAATCATGCTTTAATTACATACAACATGTTTTCAGTTTACAAGTTGAGAAGCAAGAAAAGAAGCCAGTCTCTACTTTTAAGGTTAGTAAATACATGTATATGTTAGGGTATTTAAGTCAAATATTAGTTAATACACTGTATATTAGATTATAAATATTGCATTTGATATTAAATATCTTTGAAAGCACTACCGTTGATTTTAACAATGCGTTATTTCACCTTGCCAACCTTTCATTCAATGCCTGTAAATGACTCTTATAGTCTCACTTTATTGTTATTATGATAAAATGCTTTATTGAATAGGTTCAATCAAACTAAGCATGACCAATTTGTATTCTTGCCAACCAGTATTCATACTGAATCTATAATGATTTTGGCTGAAAAGAACCTCTTTATTATGCCTTGACACAACAGGTCCCACAGGGTGAAGAGGTTCTGAATTCACCTGAGAATGCATTTCTGAACAAAATGCTGGATTTTGAGTCAAAATCTAATAAAGAAAAAGCAGATCTCAAAAGTGAAAATGGGAAATTGTCAGAAAAAATAAACACTCTGAAAAGACGTATACAAGAATTAGAAAACGAAAAGTCTCAATTAACTGAAAGGTTTGTCAATATCTTTATTATATATCAAATAAAAAGCAAGTTTATTTATAATCAAGTTCTTAAAATTAAAGTGAACAACCAGAGCATAATACTAATCGTCCGCTATATTGATAAACAAAGTGCTATCTTTTCGCAAAAAGTATATATCTTTATTAGATGATTTTAAAAAAAAAATCCAATCAGTTAAATGAAAAATACGAACGTCTTGAACATAATGTAACATGCCAATGTGCCAATGACACGAAAGTAATCAATTTCTGAACATTTCAAGATCATCTGCCACCTCGCAAAGGCCGGGATCTGGCACAAAGAAAACCGAAAGGAAACAAAATGAAAAACAACAGGTACAACTTAGATTGTTAGAATATATATCATATTAAATTAATGAATGTTCAAGATGAAATAATACAAGTATAGTTATCATCATACATTGAAATATTTTTGCATCTATGAGCAAGCTTTCCATCTAAAGCGCCACAATATACTTCGCAATTATCTTAGCTTTTTTATTTTGAAAACAACACAGCAGAGTAGATTATTGTTTTGGTTCATCTGGTACTCAAAATAGCGAGTTCTTTTACCAGATATAACACGATCTTTTATAAATAATGTATGCCCTTTACTGAATACATGTATAATGTTTCCGTTTTTTTCGTTGAATATGCATGTACACTATATTCAATAATGAATTCATTAAAGCTCTTTTTACAAAATTGCTTTGATTGCGTAATTTATCATCTATTTAAAATTGTATTCAATATTATTTTTTTTCTACAAATCAAGATTTTCATTACTAGAAAGACGAAATATAAAAGAAGTATTATTATTTCTTAGCTGATGCTACTATTTATTACAAAAAATGTTAACATTTATTCTGATTGTTAATTTTCTATAATCTGCAGTTTAATATTGTAGATGAGTAATGTGTCGGTAAAATTATATTGTTTTATTTATTTGACCAATGGCTAGACCTTAAGATTACAAAGTTACGCATCTCTATGCCTATAAAATATTTTCCAGGATAACATGGGGAAAACACACAGAAATGAAACTGACGCTGGCAAGGATAGAAGTCAAGTGACAGTGGAAAAGAAAAATGAAACTAAAGAACAAGATGAAAATGAAAGCTTTAACGCTGATCTGGATGCTTTGAAAAACAACCCAGAGCAACAAGATGAAAATATCAATCCTCAAGCGGAAAACAAGGGGTATATATCTTATCCGTGGCGTTTAATGTAATGATGAAATAGCCATACAATGTACGGTTAGTTAAGAGTAAAAATATATTTGCTCCACTATGGATGCATAGAATGGTCATTACTTTTGTTGCTGAATTAAAGAAGCATAATCACAAAATGTTGTAAGCATAAATATCAAAATAAAATGTATAAAAAAATGATCTTATTTCATGGGTTTTTCAAAAATGAAAGGTTTAATCGTTCGTTGACAGAAATAATTTTAGTATTATGTATGTAATTGTTTAAATAAAGGCGTTGCAATGCATGCCTGTTTCTTTCAACAGGGATGAAAGTGGTAAGAAAGATATCAGCTTAGGAAAACAAGGACAAAAGCAGGAATGTGAAGAAACAAAAACGGTAAGTATTCCAAGTCTTCGTAGATCATGCATATATTAGTGAGAAAGATCTCTAATTCAATATTTAAGAAAACGATGTGCTCTCTGATATTTGCTGTTCCTTAATTTAAACGATTGTTTATTTTTAAAACACTTTTTGAAATGGAATAAAATATTAATAAATTATCCTACATTTTAGATAACTAAAAAAATTAAAAAGTTACAGATTTAATTTATATTCAAATTTTACCATTCTCATTTTAAAATTTGGAATTCTGCTAAAGCAAGTGCTAGGGGGAGTGAACGTTAACTTGTACTTTCAGTACCGTGACTTCCGTCCATGAATAGGCTCAATCAAACCAAGTCTGCGACATTTTCAATTTTGCCATTGTGTGCGTTCTTTAGGGATTTTGTTCATTTCTATTTTAAATTCTTTGATGTCACAGAATAACTTAGAACCTACAAAACATGAACAACACAATGCAAATGATTCTGCAGAAGAAAAATGGAAACATCGGTGTCGTGAGATAGAAAAGGAAAAACGTCAATTGATCGAGAACAGGGATATACTTCAAGCACAGAATGTTTCCTTAGAGACATATACTAAACAACTGAAAGAAGAGAAAGATGAATTATTGCTGCGGTAAAAAGTTCCATCCTTTATAATTATATAAAGGTTAACTCTGATATTAGAAAGTTATTTACAAGAAAGTGAAGTCTCATATGTTGCAAAACAAACTATACACATATTTAAAATAGTTAATGTCTTCATTTTCATAAGTTTTAAAAAAAGAATACACCTTCTACGACCCGTGTTACCTGGATCTGATCGTACATTTTATGCCTTTTGGATCCACTGTAATGTTTTATTTCCCTTTATTATTCTTTTGCTGTCGTATTGCTAAGTTAGTGTTCCATACTCGAAATGCTTTTTTGAATAAGCTTATATTCAATTTTTATATCTTAAATAAATAAAAGGTTGAGTAAATTTGCTGGAAACAAGCTCGTTGAAAACAACCCGGCGATAACTGATCTCAGCGATTCGAACAGACCAACAAAACTTGCAGAGTACTTCAGTGAGCTCTATGACAACGAATGGACAGATGCTTTTGAGGCATTAAAAACTGCTGGATATGAAGAGATAACAGCGATTGAAACATTGCGTCTTACATTAGAGGTAAAATTGTTTGAATTCTTTTCCGTTTCACCTGCACATAAAACTAATCATGTCATTATTTTGATAGACAATACACATTCGTATCAATATCCTTTAAGACCAAACTCACATTATCTAAGATATCAAAGTTGAAATGACCACTTGCAATTTCTTAATTATTTTAGCTAATGTTTCTTATATATCTTATCCAAGGAATTTCATTCTTCTTATGCGCACACAATCAAACCATATATACCTGTATTGCTTTTTAATGTTATAACTACCCTCCAGGAATCATTATTTGTTTATACATTTTGCAATATATTTCATATAAAGAACGTTCTTCAATTCTGCGCAAAGAAGGCTGAATTATTGTTAAGAAAAGCTTCTGATGCAGTTAACCTACTGTTCGAAGAGTATCAACAATCTATTATGGAAATGGTATGCATACACTTTAATAAGTGCAAAATATGAATTAATGTGTGTACTAGTTAAGCAATTAAAATTAAGGGAACATATTTGATAACTGCTGATAACTCTGTGATCACTTCTTATACATCTTATTAAATAACTTAAACTTACTTGCAGATATCTAATGTTTAATAATACAAATTTCTTTTAAAACAACATCAATAATTTGGAGACTGTATTTTCAGAAAGTACCCTCTCATTTGACTATTCCGAGGCAAAATGTGAGTACAATTCCAAACTATGTACATTGCTTGTACTTTTTGTCATTTCAAAGATGTTTGAACGATTAGGAAATATATTTAGTTTGATTGTGACATCAAAATGGTGTAACATGTATTTACAAAACAAAAACAAAAAGGTTAATGATTTCAGTTAACTTTGAAATTGAATGTTCTGTTTTCTCAAATATTCTCTGACTGAAGCTGTACGTATGATTCAAAATTTAAACTTTTTGAACGTCTTATCTGTGATATGTAGCTTCATAACCTCTGATCTCCTTTCAAATGCCATTTAATTTAGTTCCGCCCATTGTTTTCTCGTTGATTTTTACTTAAGGACCAAAGGCTGCTTTTCATGGAACGGCACGTACGTTCTAACGTTCGTAAGTTCACGAAGGTTCCATGATAACCGCCATATGAACACATCTGCGGATGTTTTAGAATTCAAAATGGTACCAGTTCATGTTAAATGTTGAATTCTGCTGAAGCCGGTGCTACGGGGCATGGGTGGTAGTTTGCACTTCAACATACTGACCATGAACAGGCTCAACCAAACCAAGCCTGCAACATTTTCAATTTTGCCGTGTTGGGCTTTCTTTAGGGATTCTTATTTTTGCTATTTTGATACATCGTTTGTATGTTAATCAGAATATCCAATCGCCACCTATATGTTGTAATTTAATCTGTTTCAGTAAAATATGCTCATAAAATAATGTATACAAATATACGGCATGCTAAATGTTTGCAGTTGACTTTTTGTTATAAATAAATGTATAATCAATGATCAGGTCGTTACTTGCTGTTGCAATTAACAGAACTCATATTTCCAGGCACTAAGTATGGGCAAACATTTACGGCGCGAACAATCGTCGCTAGATGACATTAAGCTGCAGCACATGTGGAAACCGAAAACTGAGAAAGGTGGCCAAAAGTCATGTTCAGAAAATGTAAGCTTTAGATATTAAAATATAGGTAGTTGAAGAAAAAGAAAAGAAACCGTTTTTTTATTTCAGTGTTGTATAGGTAGGCATTTTGCTTATTATCTTTTATTTGATGTATCAATTTAAATAAACAAATTTATCATCATTATATCTATTCTGGTTGATCAAATAAATAATAATATTAACATCCTACATTTCTGTTACAAATGTCACATTAAATTCATTTTGATATAATATCCTTATCAATTGTATATATACATATTATGAAATTGCTCAGTTATAGTGTTAATTTTTCAAATTTTATTTCAAAGGTGAATGAAACAGAAAACATCAAAATTGAAGCCGAAAATAAACTGAAGACTTTGCGAAAGGAAATGGCGTCTACAATGGTGCCGATTGTACAAAAAGTATATAATATTGTTTTTTAAAGCGTATTTCTTTAACATTATTACGTCTTTTTACTTTTTAAATCCAAATGCCATTATCAGTTCTGTTAACGTAGAGTTACTTTTTACGTAAAAAGCAAAAATATCTGTCACGTAAATGTATTAATAGGATATAATATTCAGGATGAATTATATCAAATGTTTTTTTGTTGTTTTTTTTCTACTTGTTAATTCCGAATGCCATTGTAAGTACTGTTAACTAAAGAGTTACTTAATTTAAAAAGCAAAAATGTCTGTCACTTTAATTTATTTACATGATCTAATATAGGAAGTAAAATATCCAATCTTTATGCGATAAGAAATACAAACCTAATATTCATTTATAATACTTAATATTCTAGGCATATATGGAAGCAAGTTGGTCAAAACAGTGTATAGACGAGATCAAACCATTTATTCTGAAATGTCTGTATCTGGGTTGGATGATGAAAGTTCAGTCTCCTCCAATGGTATTTCATAAATGCGACATGGAGGCCAGGTTTGACAAAAATCTTTACAAAGAGTATTTGACGTCAGGACAGCTAGTCAGTTTCGTGGTTTGGCCAGCACTATTATTGCACGACAGTGGGCCTATAGTCTGTAAAGGGGTAGCAGAGGGCAAGAAAATATAAACATGAAATGACAATTTCAACAAGTTCAAACAGCATATATATAAAGTAAAAGACCTAGAGATAAAAAAAGTGACAATGTAAAACTAAAACATTTTTCTGTGTTTTGACAATATGGTTAACAGATGACAACACACAACATTTGGGCAGAATTGTGTTAATATGCTCAAGTGATTGATCGTCATAGAAATAGTACGAGTTGAACAACAATATACTTCTTACACTGTACAAACTGAGAATAAAATGATTGTAGATTGGATGATTTCGTTGGCTGATAATTGATTGCAGGTTTATAAATATACCAACGTACACTGTTTACTAAATTCTTATGAAGCAATGAGATGCAATTTGTCCAAGGATATTTAATTTGTTGATATCTATTTAATGTAAATGCCTAACTTAATGCTTCTACGCAGTGTTTTTTGCCTTAATATGACCCTACAGCATTTGGTGATTATTTTATTATACTCTACGAGGGTATACATAGATTAAAATAAAGCAAACGCTTAAATGTATTTCATTTGAAAGTATAAGTTGATCAATGGAGTTCGCGCTATACTTTATAGCATGTTTTTACTATATTTTACTATATGTTTTAATGAATAGTGTTGGTTTTGATATTTTTATCTTATCCGTATATATAATTATTCATACTTTATGAACTATTTGAATTTTGTTTTTTATGTTTGTTTAACTCTTGGTTTCAGCAATTCGACAACATGCTTTTAAGAAATTTACTATGGTTTCTTTGATGATTTTTACTGTAAATAAAGTCTCGGTTATCTTCAGGAATTTGTTTTTCATTTAAAAACCAATCATACAGAAAACATGACGTCTATCGATGTATATACTCATAAGTGTAAACTAAATGAATCCTCTTAATATTCGGATTGAATAAATTCTTCGTAGTTTGATAGTCATGAATCAGTTCGACTGTCATCATTCCCCCCAAAGAGGCAAGTTAAACCTCGCATATACCTCGAACTACGATTAAATTTCGGCCTATTTTGCATTCCTCAAACACAAGAAAGTGGTAACCATATTATTGTATTTATCCCCGCTTTTTACGGCATAAAAGCGTTGAGCGAGAAAAAAAAAATGGTTATGTGTTCCTCAGATTTATGGCTTCGTTGTTTCATACTGTTTTAGTGACATTTTTTGTGTCCCTCGTTGTTCTCTCGTCTATGGTTAGTATCTTCTCCTTGCCCCTAGTTTTTATTTCCTGTATTTTATGAAGAAAGTTTGATAATGTATATTTAAGGAAATTTAGACTCCAGTATTTCGTCCTTCATATTTTAATACTGATATGTTAAGAGTTAAATTTGAAAAAAAAATATAAATGACACCAAAAAGTGTATGTACGTCAATCAACCTTATATAAGTATTGTTAAATACTTTTTCACATATTCTCCGTGACATATATGGAAAAGGTTCATTTTAAAATACCTGTCTACAGACATCGACTTTTATGAGATCACTCTGGTATTTTCGTTGCGTAGTTATCTGTCAGTCGCTTCTGATACTTTGGTATCTGATAGAACCAGGGCTGATCAATGAGTTTGCTAAATGAGGTAAGCAGATATAAGCCGTACCTTTTATCTCTGTTCAGTCTCTTGTTTTTTACACTTTAAGAATGTAAAAAGTTATAAAGAAAATCTGCCTTATTTTGTTTCGCCATCTTGAATTGATCGTTCGATAAACAAAATTACAGTGCAAAGTTTGCGGCAATCGATCCTGTTATAGTGCAAAAGAAAACAACATACTTAAAACAATCCAATACCTTCTTAAAATGCGTTGAAAAAAAATGTTTATGAAATGCATGTTAGGATAGTGACCGCCTTGGTATTATTCAATCTAGGAGAAGATTTAGTAATAAAACTAGAATCAATTTCCAAGATATGGAGGCTGGGCAGCACCGCCTGACTTAAGATTGAAATATTTACAGTTGGAAAACTAGCATGTAATTGTTTAGTGAACATCGTCTTTTAAGTATTTTTTCTTTTTCTATCTCAAATCCATATATACATTTAAACAATAAACTCTGATTATTATTTACACCCAAAACAAAGAACTCTGATCATTATATACACCCAAAACAAACACACATCACTTATTTACCACTTATACGAAATATCTTTACACGTATACATCTTTTATAAGAAACAATACTAGACAAGCTCTAAACAACTTATGATCAAACAAAACAATAAAATCACCACAAAAATGAAGAAACAAAATGAATATTTTTACAACATTAAGATACAGTATATACCACAAACATTCAACCTACAAAAATTAATCAGCATCAACTTCAAAAACAAAGCATCAACGAATATAATCTTGACCAGAAAAAATCACTCCAAACATTCAATCAATATCAACCAAGTATATCTTACCAAACATAAAGAAATCAACAACTAACTAAAATACAACAAACAACAACTAATTACAACCAATGAACACTAATCAATTAAGATCACCACAATTAAACAACAAGTCAACAAAACTCCCTTCAAAACAACACATCCACTTCTCAACAAAAAAAAAAATAAATAAAAAAAAATAAACGCTTCACCCTATAAGTTTGCCTTTCCTAACTGATGTAAAATCTCTCCCAAAACTACATGTAGACAAATTTTATATGCACAGCAACTGGTTTAAACATTATATTTATACTACACCGCAAACAATGTATTGCTCTAGAAAGAAATTCACTCGTAAAAAAAATACAGTGCAACTGTACGATTATTCTGATAATGCATTTCTCATAATTTATTCTGTATATGAGGAACAGTTAGATAGTGGAACATCCCTCACCCTTCATCCCTTCCCTATAGCTCCGGATTGAGCAGTAACAATTTTCAATACTTAAAATGGCTTGAATCATTTGTTCTGAATGTCCCGCTTTTTTACAGTTGCCACACCATGACATATTTCATACGCAAGTAATTTATATGCATTTCATTAAGACGTCACGTATGAACGAGAGAAAAAAACGAGTATGATGATTTCATAGCATTGAATTATAATTATTGTTTGGGACTTAACTGATTATGAGGCGGAAGTCAGAGCTGTACAGATATCTTTTAGAACTTGCATTTGTTTGAATCAGCTTAGTTATTTCGATTCAATTAATAGAAATATGCAGAGGATTAACCCTACTTGCAAGCTATAAAAAGTTTTCCGATTATCGCCCATGTTTACACAATGTGTAAGCGAAAAGTAACGAGGAAGTAATATAGCTTTATTTTGTAATGATTTCTTCTTACTTAAATGTGTGGTAAGTACAACTTTACTTTGCTTTTAGGAATTTCAAAATGAAAAAAATGTGGTTATTAAAGCATGATCAAAAACTATTGTTTTGTTTCGATTCTGTATATCTTACAATGATACGACTAAAATACATTTAATTATTAATTTATGGATTACATGGTTCTTACCGATTAAATGTCATTAAAGGATTTACTGCCATAAGAAAACAGAGTGACTTGGTTTAAACATATTTTTATTCAAGGTAATATATACATGCTAATAATTTACAATATAAGCACTTTGTTACAAATACAATGTATGCACTAACAACATACTAAGATAATCGTGAATTCGTCAATTTAAAAACATTTATCTTTCAAAAGGATAAAAGCTATATTTGGTAAGGTTATTGTGATACATGTGGTAAGTACAATTAAATAATGTTATAATATTTGCTTTCAGTATTTTTTTACTACATGTTTGGGAATTTGTGCTGATATACTCACAAAACAAATCCTCCAGGTATGATTACGCGCTGACATATTAAATAAATAATGCACGTTTACAACGTCAACTTTCATCATGTTCATTAACAATTGTGATGTTTAATTGATTTAAATGCAATGCTGCTGACAACTAATTATTTTTCAAATGAATAAAATAAAGTAATTCTGAAGTTTTGCTATTGGTTAAAACATTTAAAGACTAATAGACACCATGATACATGTCTGGTTGCTTGCTATATGAATCGTTTTAACGAAATCAATTGTTTATGTATGCACTCAATGACATGTTTCTTGTTTGTTATATATGAATCGTGAATTTTTGTGTATCCAAGTAATAACATCCTATACAAGTGTGTATCTCTAACATCTTTAAATAGAATGTAAAAGCATATCGTCACCTTAGTGCAGTAACGGATTAACTCCCTATACAATTCAATAAGTGATAATCCGTTATTGCACTTTGGTGATGAATTTCATTAGAATGATATTACTTTATAATATATTTAACATTTTCACATGTACTTTAGAACAATTGTCAAACAAAAAACGAATGCAACATATTCTTTCTTATATTTGTCCAGTTCTTAAGTCCCCTATAAAATGATTACATGCCTAAAGATGAATTATTTACTTGTATGTCATTTTTTAACTAAATAGCAAAGTTAGGAGCAGTTAAAGTAATAGACAGAATGCAAAGGAAGGACCTCCCAAATACACAACCTAAAGAAATAAGCAGACTTAAAGAATGCACCCACAAACTTTATAATGCAGCAGCAAGGTAATATACTGTACTCTTAAATAAATTTTGTTGCACTGAAGTTATTCGTATTCGATTTCACTACATGTTAGAACAGTGCATTTATGCAGTCATTTAAAAATCTGTGAAATGAGTATGCACGTACACACGTAGTATTCTTAACCAAAAAATAATATATTCTTTAATATTTAGGCAGACAAAAGAGACTCAAGAAGGTCATAGGCATTCAAATGATGTTAAATCTGACCAACTATGCATGGTATGACATATTTTAGCAACATACATTAAAACAACACGTGTAAACTTAAATATCAACAGTTGGTTGTATTGTTATGTTATGTTAATGCTTATAATCACGCTTAATGATGTTATGTTAATAAATATCCTTGCTAGTATGTTTATTAAAGTTGTTAAAAACCTGGTCAGATTCCAAAACTTTGTGTTGCTTCTGAGTTGCTTCTGATAGTTTGAACGTAAAAATAATTAATTTGAAGATCGAGACGTAATACCAAACCATGCTGCATACTTTAGAATGTTCAAACTCATCTTAAATTTATAATGAAGCAAGGCGATTGAAAATAGGTGATAATGTATGTGTCATGCAATTTAGTTTCTAAAACAAATAAGACAATACAAATATTGTTTAAATATCTAATATGTCCATCAAATATGTCCATTTCCTTCAGGGTTTTCAAAAACATGGTGATTTTATTGCTACATCTATTCATGATGAGTTTGTTAAACGAATATGCAAATTGGAGGACACGTTCGATGAAGAAAAGAAAGAATACGAGCTTAAGATCGAAAATCTGAGTGACCGCAATAATATTTTAGAAAATCATGTCAAGGAGTTAGAGAAGATATTGAATACAACTAATGCTCGGTATGTTCAAATGATATCACACAATGCTGTATTGTTTTTATTGTAACGGAATTATCTTGATGAAAAATAGTTAAGAAACAAATGTCCACAGAAAGCATAAGAATGCCATGATCTATCTAAACATTACTATGAGAATAAATAATATTAAACATTTTCCTTATTTTTTTATATATATATAGCACATGAATATTCAAAGGCACATTGCATTTTTTAAAATATAGTTAACACTTTAATCTACAGCTTTTGAACTTATTTCGTTGTGCGTCATTGATAAATTGCAACGAAGTCTAAACGTGAACGTCATATATTATCCTAAAAAAAGTTATTGTTCTCTTTCAAGAGATAAACTGGACATCACTGGATTTGAAAGACCTGAAACAGGAGAGGTAACGCATCAGGTAAACATATATCGAAGGAAATATTTCAGACACTTTTCAGTCTTTTGCGGCTTGCAACTATTTGTTAATCTACAGTAGTAGATTAGCATGACTGATTATAAAAGAACAATAACGGAGTTCCCGTATTTTCATCGGATGGGACATAAAGTATCTATAACGTAACTAAAAGCTAATGAATTAAAGTCCTAAAATCAACATGGCTTTCCGAGTCAAATTTTAACTAACTTAATCTTCCATATATCTCATTAGTTTTGTAAAATGACATGAAATTTCTTCATGAAAACAGTTGTTAATAAGACATAGAAAAAGGAATCAGAACAAGTTTGCATACGATAACAAAAATTTCAAAAGTAAGAAACGTTTTTTTTCTTCATGTGTTAGACTATTTATATACTATTTCTATACTATTGGGAAATAAAAACATTTGCATGGGTTAATGTTTGAACACGCTTTTATATTTAAGCAATTACTTACTTCTGACATGTCAACGCAAACGGAAGATTGTCCAAAATGTGCAGAATTAGACGACCAAAGATTCAGATTGGTAGAAAAGATAGAAAAGTTACAAATAGACAGGGATGGAATAGAAAACCATGCCAAGCAACTCAAAGCCGACAATGATGATCTCCGAATTCGGTACATTTCATTTTTAATTACTAACTTTCCAAATGCCCTCAAGTCTCCCTCAATGTTTTAGTAGGTGACATAGAGGTATATAAACGATTCGATTCATTTCATTTTTAATTAGTTTTCCTTTTTTAATTAGTAAATTTACGGGGAAAGAACAAATGTAACATATTAATATGATTCATTTTAGATTATAATTCTTAACACCATCAAACGGAACTTTATATCTGATCTGATTTTTGTCAAAATACAAATTCTACTAAAGTACCTTAATTAGAAACATTAGGTTATTAGAACAAACGCCCGAAGCACACATTCCTCGCTTATACACTCCTCGTTAAAATATAAAATGGTATATTTTCGAGGGCATATGAACTGTTTTATTACGTCAATGTACCTTGAATGAAATAAACAACTTTATTGTGAAGGTGATGAAATATATAATTATAAATTCCGCATCTTTCCCCACCCCCGGTCAAGACACGTTAAGAGTGATAAATCGGACAGTGTAAGGAATCAGTAGAAATACTTAATCAATACTTATGTAGAAAACAGTTTAAACAATTTGCTTTAAATATTTTCATTAATTTCACCAGGTTAAGTAAATTGGCAGGAGATAAGCTTACAGATAACAATCCTGTAATAACAGACCTGAGTGATAATAACAGACCTACCAAGCTTGGAGAGTTTTATAGTGAACTATATGACAATGAATGGACAGACGCATATGATGCATTGTTAAAGGCTGGATACACCGATGATGAGACAATTACGATCCTTAATCGCACATTAAAAGTAACATTTTATAGATAATACATGTATTTTCGGAATAGAATCAGCATTTAAGATAGTTGTATTACAGTTCATACTGTAATATGAACGGTATTTTCGATGGATTGATAAAAGATTTAATTTTTGTCATTTATTCACATGACTTTTTGTATGTCCGGAGTTGGGGTTATATATTAAGCTATTTTAGTAGGAGTATTCGACAGTATTTATTATATGATGTTTCAAAAATAAGTTGAATCAAATTGAACATTCAACAATATCAGTACAGATATGTTCGTCAATATTCAGTTTCCAATTTTACTAATCTATAGAGAACAATAAAACGATTAAATAGAACAAGCATTATATATTTTTTGTTAAGTATACCTTAAAATTATTTACTACAGTCCTCTCAGTTTTCAGGTATGTAGACTTATGATAAAGCATTACAATTTGATAATCTTAAAAAATTGTATTTTCAAAGCACGTGATGACGTATTGTGAAGCTAACGCAGACAAACTTGTAATGGGATTACCTGATACCATTAGCAAGTTGTTTGAAGAAAACGACAGTTCTTTTCTGAAGATGCATTCTTTCGGACCATGTCAAGCATATAACGTGTGTGATATATGGTCGCCTAAAGTCAACGTAAATGAAAAACGATCGGAGATCAAAAACCCTAAACAGGTATTGACTTAATTAAATCAAGTAACTTTTGAATAATTTTCTGAGATCTAAATTTCAGTCTGCAATGAGATTAGGATAAAATCTCTTCTTATAAAAGATATGTTTGAGCTCAACTTTTTTTTAATTTGAAAAGTGCATTAATTTTTCATTATAACAATGAACGAAAAACATTGGACTTGTATGCTAATTAAACTCTATTATAAATATAAGCATCAGTCAATCTTATAAAGTCATCAAAACATTGAGTTAAACACATATTTATATATAAACAAGGTAACCATAGAAGAAAATGCAACAGTTGATATAAGAGATACAGTCAAAAGATTCACAAAGGAGATATCAGCCGAAATTGTTCCACTTGTAAAGATGGTAAATACTACTATCTAAATAGCTCATACCTTTGATTTTCATGAATTTAAATTCAGAAATAATGTTAATTGATAAAGTGTAAGATGCATCACATAAGAAATACTGAGAGAGCAGATCTATATCAAATTATTCTTATCAACATGAAAATGCAGTGACATGTTAAAAAATGCAATGCAGTTTTTCACTTGCATGTGTTCATCATCTTACATAATTGTCTTTACAACTATACCAGTATACTATTCTTTAGTTTGTTTGTTTTGTTATTTACGCCGATTTTAAAACATTACTGGCCATAATTCGGCGGTCGGTCCACATAACCAGCCTCTCTGGATAAATAACTCGTAATAACGATTTGTTTGCAAATGACTGACTACTTATCCTACATGATTTATTAATTGTAAGTGGGAAACAAATCATCATCAGACATCATTGCCCGAGATAATTTGCAACGGTCGACCGACGATCGAATTAATCCGAAACTCTGTGGGAAGACAATATTCTTTAGACATGTACTAGAGCCAAATAAGTAATAAAGATGACTTCAAATAACTTCTTTTCTGTTTTCTAGGGGTATCTGAAAGCGACCAAATGGAATGATAATTGTATAGAAGATCTTAAACCTTTCATTTTAAAATGTATTTACCTCTGTTGGATGATGACAGTGCAATCCCCAAGAATGGTTTTTCACGGACATCCAACTGAAAGATCAGATGTGCCATTTGATAAAGGCTTGTATAAAGAATATATTACATCCGGGCCAGTGGTAAAATACGTCGTTTGGCCAGCGCTTCTTTTACAGAAAGATGGTCCTCTTGTCTGTAAGGGCGTTGCTGAAGGGATGCAACCTAAATCAGGAGAAATTTATGTATAACATTCTAACATACAAGAACATTTTATTTCCATGTATAAGGACATATTTTAGGTGCTAGGGGTCGTGAGTGATGTTGTACTTTTTCATTATCCCCCCTGTTCAGACTCAATCGAACTGAGTTTGCAATTTACATGTAATTTTGTTATGATTTATGATAAATTAATAATTAATAATAATATTTATGATAATATTTGGCAAATATTAGGAAGCATTTGTTTGACAAATTGTATAATGTGATTATGCAATAATTATCTTAATAAATTATAAATATTCTGTCAATTACACATTGTTCATTGGATATATTTTTCCATAAGAAACAATCAAGAACGATGTGCAATTTCACGAAGTGTGTATATTGTTTACACCCACTAGACCACCAATAGCAAGAGAACGTGACTGTTTACATAGCAATGAGATCTGTAAAATAACTTAAAAATCCATTTACAAAGAAAACAAATTTAATGTGTTTCATCAATGATTAAACGATATAAAAAGACAACAATTTATTGTCAAATATATACATATAAAATAAGTATGTTTGAGGTATTTAAAGCTCATCATGTTTTAGCCATACTTTGTTGTAGCATCTTATTAATATGATTTTTTAAATGTTCAGCACGTCAGGAGCAAAAGAACTTGATTGGTTTTTGAGGAATATATGATTTCTCAAATAAGCATGTGCTAAATAATCTGCTTTGCTAGGGACATTTATGCGATATATTTAGTGGCATACATAACAGACTTAATTTTTAAATCATATACCACTATACCATCATTCAATCGCCTAAATTTGTTTCAGACTGAAATATGAATACTTCTTAAATGAAGTTAAAGTTATTATATATCATTTTTTTTTTCAATCATTCGTGCTTTAAGGTCAGTATGTATCTAGTACCGAACATGGAAAGCATAATATTATATCAAATACAATCTATAAACATCAGTTCCACGAAGCTAATAAGGCAAATACACTTTGTGCATTTCAAACACATCAACGATTCTAAGCTGCAAAAGTCGTTGAGTTTACAAATACAAGAGTACTGATAACAAAAATGAAACATAAAATATTAAATATGTACGAGTATATATAGATATAGATATATATTTGATTAGAATTTCTCCTTACTGCTTATAAACTGACATATATAAATGCTACTGTGAATCTGTGATATTCTTTGTTAATAAACCAACGGTCATTAGTCATGCAACACTTTAAAAAAACTTAGAACATTTACACTTTTGATTATTAGCAAATTAATTTGTACAAATAATTAAGTACACTTACAAACTATAATATTAATCTTCAATGATTATGGCAGAGATATTCATTATGATAGAATTCATAGAATTATAGGAATCATGTATGACAAAAGTATTTTAAATTAGACATTTATATATCCCAAGCTTAAATTTTAGATAAATTTTTTTTTCGCACTTAGCCCAGTAACAAAAACCGCATTCAAGCTGATGAAAGGGGCATGCATTATAGATCTGACAGAGACGAGCTACGTAGGTCATATGTTACCATAAAATACTTGACTTTAGAGAAACAACAACTTCAACAACGAAATCAATACCTTGAGATGCGATGTAAAGATGTGCAAACTACCATTTCAAAGTTAAAGGGATGTGTAAGCGAGCTATCAAAGGTATTATTTATTCATTGTAATATGTTTGAAACTAGCTGACAAGATGTATATAACTAATATAAAAAAACACACACAAAAAAACAACAACAAAAAACAAAAACGAGCAAACAAAACCGCTAGTGTAAGAATCGTTAATATTCATTGAATTAATTTTAAAGTTTACATTATTATTATATTTGATGCAAATGTATCATACTTTGCTCTTATTTAAACAATTATTGCACTATACTTTTACTATATTGTTATTTAAATACAGGATACTTTTCACTTGTTGAATTCACATCACACTCTTGTATTTGTTAAATATTCGCAAATTCACGATTATTGTATCAACACTTACTAATTCTTAAGAACTGTACTTCATGATATTTGCTTCAAAAAAGAGGAATGAATTCATGGGACCTTTATTCTTAGCTAAACAAGAGGGTTAATCGAGATTATAAACAATGAAAAGCAAACACAAAGAGAAAATCTAACTCGTAGACACGAGATAACAAAAAGCAGAAAGAAGGAAAGCCGAGTAATAGATTACCAATGAAATGATTAGAGTTACATGTAACCAATCAAATGATAAGAGCTAACTCGTGGTCACGAGGTTACTATTTGTTCTTTTTTTGTAATATAAAGTTGCCACGAGATAATGTAAATAATTCAATAAGTATCTTTGTACATCTGTATATCTGTCCTATATTATAATGGAAATGAATACAATTCTTTACATGTTAATCACGATTACTTAATCTTAACAGTTATAAAGCTGTTTTCTTTATTTTGTTTCCGGAATAGGAACCAAAGAGTCCATTTGGCTTCAAAACATTCGGCAAATGAGGACAAAATGTCAAAAAGCAAATTAAGCATACCATTCATCTGCTTTAGTCAGGAAATGTAGTGTCAATTTCTTATATTATGAATATCAAGTGACAAGTTGACCACTACTTGCACGTAATTACTTCAAACGGTTTAAGAATTTTGTTTTCATATCACTGTGCAATTATTTCCTTAATATCAAAAACACTTATCTTAAACTTCCAGTAAAAAGGCATCTCTCTGTCAAATGATTCATCTAAGCATTAAGATGTGTAATGGTTTGTCTACATCGTTCAAGTAGTATTTTCTCATAGCTTCTGTGGTTGAGTTGTTGAGGCCCCAAAGGCAAAATAGTTTGGTCAACAACACAATTCGTTTCAATACTGCCTAAAGGCAGTTTCGCAGCTGATACATAATAGCCATGGTTCTACTCGCTTGTGCTCGTTTGTTCATATAATATTGAATAATGCAATTATACAGAGAAGTACACTAAGGGGTTTTGCGGGGATTTCGCATAAAAATAATCAACAAAAAACAAACAAACAAAAACAAATTTTGAAATTTCTCTTTTTTTGTCTACCTAAATAATACTAACAGCTACAGCCATTGCTAAGGCGCATAGGAGAGGATGTTCCTATCAAGATCTCATATCAACAAAGTCAGTCAAACGAATCTGTAATTTTAACATATAACATTTTGTTATCCACACAAGAAAAACTGTGGTAATTATCAATAATTATTGATGATTACATTTTAACAGCAAATACCTCCTATATAATGTGTTCTGACAATCTTCAAAACCCAGCAGATATCCAGGGTTACAAAACTTCCTTTTGAAAACCCTTTAAGACAGTGTGTATAAAAGCACTTTGAAAGAGTCAAAATGGGACATAGGACTGTGATAAAACTTTACGAAATGTTTACTTGTTTTATACAGATAATTCTTTTATCTAACTTTTGATTTAAGAGTCCAATTAACGTTTGCCACAGTGCAATATACTCAATAGTCCATCATGCAATACCCTCATTCAACATTGACATTATTTAAACATGATTTATTAAAGCAAGAACATGACTATGAGCAGAAGATTCGAAAACAACAACAACTGTTGACAGACAAAGATGCTGAAGTGCTGTTCCTAAGGACGAATGTTGACAGTTTGAAAAAACTAAATAATTTAGTTGAAGAAGAAAGAAATGATCTCCGACTTCGGTAAAATTATGTTTATAAGTATAAAAAATAAATGATTTCATTCATTGTCAACTTTCACCAGGATAAAACATAGTTAAATATTTACTTCTGAATCCTAGCTGGAAGTCCTTTTAGATACTTTCCAATATGGTTTACAGGTTTGTTTTTCAGTTCATTGGAATTAATCTCTCCTGAATTATTTGAAAATTCATACGTGCTGTCTTATATAAAGAACATATATTTGAAACACCTTTTTGAAGTAGTGTTTGTCATTCATGGTTTACAATGACTATGCAAATGTACAGGTCATGCAAATGCTTTAATATAAAATTTGATTTTACGTTGCAATCAGAAGCTTCTTTAAAATAGCGTTAAAGTTAAATACCAATTCAAAATACTTATACTCAAGAAACTAATGATTTAATTTGCAAGGTTTGAATTTATTGGCTTAATCAAATCAAGTCTAGAACAATACCAATTTTGAAGGTTTCCGGAATTCTGTAAGATTTCCTTTTAATCTTAAATTGTCAAGCTAGTGTAAAAAAGTAGTCTTGTCATTAACAAATCGTATGATAAGATAAAATAAAAATGATAAAATTTCACAACTAATTTCTGCTTAACAATGAATATGTACAACTGTTAATTAAAATGCAACCACACAATTAATCACTTACATGTTGTGTAATATTTACATTATCCCCAAATATTTTGTATCATGCTATGAAATGGTTTTGTCAGTTAACAATAATACTTATTTCTATATTTAGACTTCAAGAAAATGAAAAAAATATGGTTATATCGGACGAGATCATCAAGGTTGATCATTTATACTCATAAACTTTTAACGGTCCTAAGGCATTTTATACTCAGTCTTACACATCAGCGGATGTTTCTAGATTCAATATTTTACCATTTTCATGTTTAAATGTTGAATTTTGATTAAGCCGGTGCTAGGGTGCATGGGCGGTTATTTGCACGTATCAGTACCGTCCATGATCCTGGTCCGTCTAACTAAGAGTTCAAGATTTTCAATTTTGTCGGTTTGTGCGTTCTTTAAGTACTCCGTTTTCCTCTAATTTAAAGAAAATAATATCGCCATTTATAAAAGGGACTTGTTTAACATTTTATATTTTGGTCATCTATAGGCTAAGTAAACTGACAGGAAAGAAACTTGAAGACAACAATCCAATTGCTGAATTAAGTGATCCAAACAGACCAACAAAACTTGGAGAATTTTACAGTGAATTATATGACAATGAATGGACAAATGCTCTTGATGTATTGCATCTAAACGGACATGATGAAGATATCGCTATAGAAACATTGAAGCTTACATTATTGGTATGGTCACTATGATGCGCATGACTTAGCTACAAAACTGTCGGTTTTTAGGGTACAAATACATTTGTTTTCAAGAAAAAAAAAATTAAATGGGTACCGTTTTGTAAGGGGATTGCTTGGGCATATACATGTATATTTATGGTGTCATATACAAATATATTGGTTTATATTGATTATTCAGTGTCATGTGAAGGAAATACACGATATCATGTAACGCTATCATGTCATGGTTTTGTCACAAAACACAAAAGTGCTGCAAATCTCTCACATTTTTATTTAGACATCGTATCATATACAAATTTGTTTCTATTTTAAACATTATATATCAAATTCCACCTAATAAAAACGTCCCTATGTTTTCAGAATATTTATAAATTTTGCGAGAACAAAGCTGGTATGGTTCTAAGGCAATCAACAGATGCAGTGAATTTACTTTTTGATGAGTATAAGCAGTCAATTGATTTAGCGGTATGGTTTTGCTTTCCAAATAAAGTATTATAATGCCATATATCGTATTAATAAATTTCATGGTTCTTTAGGCATGATATCTACATAATGCACTACCCCCACTTTGAAGAGTGTTAATAAAGGCTTGAATAACTGTCGAATGCAATGAAACTGAGGGGCTTGGGTTCAAGCCCCATAAAGGTCAACCATATTTTTCTATCTTTCTTTCTTTTAATATTTTATGTATATCTCAGATCCCTAGTGAGAAGAAAAAAGTGTTTTATTTTAAGAATATGATTATTATAGGTATTTATTGGCTAAAAATGCAAAATTAAATTACAAATATGGTACCTGATATCTTCAAAGTCTAATAAAATAAAAACTATATGGTAAAGGTTATTTATATTTGACAAAATTAACCAATATACTTTTAAGAAAATGTATGAAAACTTTGAAAAAAAAAACCCTTTGGTAAATTTTAAAACAGCCCCGCCTTTGGTTAATTTTAGGAAAGTTTTAAATTTGGCTCTCTAAGTAGGAAAATAGTCAAACAAGAGTAAAAAACTGGTGGGGTAGGGTGACATTTTTGTACGTATTTTTTTGTAGAAACAAGCCTTTGGCGAGCATAATATCGTTTTATTGGACGAGTTGAATAGATTCAGCAAGCATTAAATCTACACGAATATAATATTCTATTTATCACATATTGAATAAATGATAATTAAACCAGTACGGTTGTCGTGGCTGTAGTTAACGCTAACATAAATGCACTACTTTTGTGATTAATAAAGATAAAAAAATAAAATTGAAAAATAAATGAATATTAAAGATATGTTTTTGTCCTTTTATGGAATATTTGCTTTGAACCAACAATATTGCTAATGCATGAAATTAACGTTTTTATCAGTTTTAGGTTCTTATAAAAATATTACAAAATACTTAAAAGTATTATTCATTGTGATTAAAACAGTACTGAAATATGATATTTTTCTAATTTTTAGGTACCTTCCTATTTGACAGTTCGAGAACAAAATGTAAGATATTTTGTTATAAGTCAGTGTCGTTTGTGGTATAAGTATATATATCTAAATTAGACGGTGCTAGATTAGCATGCTTGCTATTTGCAATTGCAGTTCATGTAAAGCCCCAATTAAACAGAAGACACTAGATCCCTAAATACGCCAACACACTGGTACAATTTTTATTTTGAAACATCCGCAGAAGTTTTCATATGGCAGTTTTCAAACTGTGCGTTAAACACATTTATATTGTCTTGCAGGACCAGTGCGATTTCAAAGTTTTATATGGATTATTTGAAAACAAAACTGTGTTTTATATAATAAATATATTCAATCAACAATACAAGAATTTACTTGCTTTTGAATTGCTTTTATACCTTAAAGACGGCATTTTCATTTGGAAATGTAGCGATAATTTAACAAAGGTGGAAAAGAGCAGAGTCTCGAATGCAATACATTCCAAATTAAAACGTTAAAATTACAAAATTGCTGTTCGACTTTATTGAGACGGTTCATGAGAGAAAAAATATTCAAATAGTGAAATGAAGTTCCCAAAAGGAGCCTTCTTAAGACTACCTATAGACTCGTGTAAATCATTTCTCTATGTATTTCAGGGTACTTTTCGTGCTTTCGTCTCATAGAAAACCTAAAAAAGATTTTTGAATTAAAATTTTAGTATCGCAAGCGGAAGTGCATTCTTCCCGAAATACAACTGCAGCAAAGGTGGAAGCCGAACATGCCTAAGGAGCAATCTTCCGTAGTTGTATCACAGATAAGGAAGGAGTCCTCGGCAAGCTCTGAAATGGTATTTTACGTTTTAAAAGTTATATTCCAATATTTAATATATACAGAGATTTGTCTGTTATCTTTAAAGAAATAATAAGATCGATAGTGATGTGTAGGTCTTTACCGTACCTAAAACAGGACATACATCAAAGGATGTACCTTAGATTTCTATTCCAGTTACAGTGCAAAATAAGTTTTACATGAACATTTATTAACCACAGAACACTTATACCGGCATTATAACTGAAAAAGAAAAGAAAAACAAAATCAGCAAGGAAGGGCGGTAATCACTGAACGCATCCCCTAACACAAGAGGCAAAGTTTGCAGATGCTTTGCTAACATTATGTTCAGTTGTGACTTTATCAAAGCTTTATCATTTTATCGTGATATATACGTTGGCATCCTTCATGGCAATTAGTTTAGATAAAATCCGAAGGAACATATAATTTGAATTTTAGGTTGGTCATAAAGATAAACTGAAAAACGAAGCTGAAAGTAAACTTATTCAACTGAAGAGAGGTAGCTGTATCGATGGTGCCGATTGTTCAAGAGGTATTATTGTATGTTTATTCATTAAAAAATAAATGGTGGTCTCCTAGTCTAATATAACGTTATAATTAATACCTACAACAAAATGGGAATATTATATGTTGCCTTTGCCTTGTTGATCTATATTCTTGTTTTTTATTACCAAACATATTAAATTTAACTAATCAATGGATCTTGTCCTCTTTCAAGCTCTGCCGATTTTTTATTCAAGTTTTCACTTTTTGTTATAACTTTACGAGTATTTAAACAATACATACTCATTAAATTCACTGACCTTTATATTGCATCGTTGATAAAATGATAAGACGCTTTTGAAAAGATTGTAATTTTAGCATTTTCTATCTCAATACGAAAAGTATGACGTACGTCATTCCTAGTAAAGTGTAAAATGAGGAGATCATTACTTAGTCTATCATCAATAGATTGGATAGTCAATCTATTCTTAGTAGACTTTATAATTCCATTTCAAAATTCCTGTAGTTACCTTGAATAATTCTTTTTTCACATGCAGGCGTATATTGAGGCAAGCTGGGATCCGGAATGTCTTGAGGTGTTGAAACCTTTCATAATGAAATGTCTTCACATGGCTTCATAACCTCAGATCCCCTTTCAAAATTCCATTTTATTTAGTTCCGCCCATTGTTTTCTCGTTTAGGGCACACGCATTTTTTGACTTGGGGACCATATGCCGCTTTTCATGGAATGGCACTACCGTGTCACATTGAAGGTTCCATGATAACCGCCGTATGAACACATCTGCGGATGTTTCAAAATTCTAAATTTTACCAGTTCATGTTAAATGTTGAATTCTGCTTAAGCCGGTGCTAGGGGGCGTGGACGGTAACTTGCACTTTCCAGTACCGTCCATGAACAGGCTCAATCAAACCGAGCCTGCAACATTTTCAATTTTGCCGTGTTGGGCTTTCTTTAGGGATTCTGTATTTATCTATTGGATGATGGTTGTTCAATCCCCTCCAATGATTTTCAAAACACGTGAAGCGGACGAAAGATTTGATAAAAGTATGTTTAAAGAGTACACCAAAAGAGGATCCTATGTCGATTTTATGGTTTGGCCAGTATTGTTATTAGAAAAAGATGGTCAAGTAGTTGCAAAAGGCATCGCACAGGGAAAAGAAAACTAGAATTATAATGGGCATGTATCCAGGTTAGGTTTTCACAAAGAATTGTAAAACCGAGGAGTTTGCGTATAAAGAAATCTTTAATATATTAAGTTAGAGAGTAAGTGATAAATGGAAACTTTACATAAATGCTCGGATTTTTATTTTCAAAAAAACAATATTTTACTACACCTTCAATACTGTCAGTATTAGTAGATATTTAAATATTAAAAAGTATAGAAAAGCTATAACACGATTAAAGGAACTCCACTGAGGTTTGCTAAATAGTATAAAATTTTAATTTTTCATACAGATCAACATGAGCACTTAAAACAGAAATATGAATAAAAAGTTACTAAGAAATATATACAAGAAATGCATTGAAAATTGTATGTTTTTGCTACTCTCAGTCCGATGTGAGTTTGGTTCAAGTTTTGGTTCAATTTTCACTATTATAATAATTATTCTGGAAAAAAGGAGCGAGCTAATGATCTAAAATTTTGCACATAAGTTATTAGTATAGATCTTCATCAAATGGAGTAATAATCTCAAAAAATAATTTCCTGTCCCGCCATGTCAAAAAACCTCAGTGGAGTCCTTTTAAGATTGCCCAAGTCATCTTCTAGAAATAGAGGTTGAAATATGGAGGAAACGTCATAGTGGACCTACGATGGTTCGAGTTTTAGTTAGAAGACGATAACATGCTTTCAAATAGACATTTTGAAATGAAATAAATTTCATAGGTTTCGATCATATTAAAATTGCTAGTATGATAATTTCTTTTATATGTATGTGTTCAAAGAAGACGTTTTGTACTTCTATAAGTTAGAATTAAAGTAATTTTATAAATGCACTATAATATCAGTGTAATGTAAGAGGAGAACAATTTTTATTTTATTAATAAAAAAAAGAATGAAATTCATCTTGAAGTTTATTAAAAATGCTGGCACTGTCTTGCGCTCATTGAATACCGTCTTGTTGATCTTGTTTATCATATTTTAACCGTTATTGAACAAATCATCAATTCAGTTATTTATAGTAAATTTCCGATGAATCTCTCAAATTACTTGAAATGTAAATGAGTAATAACATATAAGGAAAACACTGCTTGTAGTCACGTCATCTTGTCATGTAAAAACTACATTATATGTTTAAGCAGATATGTTATTGTATCAATTTTTCATGCTAGTGTTGAGTACTTCGAGTGCAAATTTACTTCATTAGATTCCTCATCTTCAGGACAAGTTGAATCTGTACTTATATTACTTATATCTATAATCATGTATGTTGAAGCTTATACAAACCGTCTCTTATGTATTCATGCAACATAAAAGTTAACAAAAACATTACATTATTATATTACATGTAACAAGCAGATTTCGTTTGTACTCTTTATGATTATAAATGTGTATCATGAAGAATTCAATAAAAATACCAAATTTTTTTACACAAAGTTCATATTGATGTTTTGTTAATAATCAAAGATTAATTAGCATTTTATGTGACATGTGTATTCATAAAGAATTCAATAAAGATTTATCAATTGTTTACACACAAGTTTCATATTTTGTTTCGTTCTGTATCGATTAATGATGACCAATATGCTTATGTTTACTATTGGCATTAC